TAGCTGGGACTTCACCATTCATGTTAAATGCGTGGTCTCACAGGACCTCCATCCCTGTGTGAGGCTGGGGGAGTGATTGGAAATTTATTTCAGTCAGCTTCTGCACACTTACAATCATTTCCCTGTTTTCTCTTTGATCCTTTGGCTGAGTTCCAGCTATAAGACAAATATAGTAACACTATTCCCCCTTTTTCTTTCCTCTCTCTTGTGATTTCATCAGGGGAATATTTGTACTTGTTCTTTCTGTGTATTGTTCAGGTCCTCTGCAGCTGCCTTAATCACCAGTGTTGGAATGGACCGGTTTCTACCTGTCAAATACAGTGCACCGAGCTCACAGGAAAAAGACGTACCTCACTGAAAGGTCACGACTGCGTTTACTTTGAGTTATACTCACTATTTTCTCTCAGCCAACAAAGAGTATTTGAAGCTGTGATATTTAAACTTCCTCCATCATACTCGTGAGAGGCTCGTAAAAAAGAACTGTCTAAAACAGATACATAGAAAGCTTTCAACCAAATAAGCTTTTATATTTAAATCATGAGATGAAGATCCACTCAAATATTTCTACACTACTTTATACTATAGCTCAGTCCTTTCAGTGTGGACTGATTCATACACATTGTGTTGTGTTTTCTTAGATATTAGTTATGTTATGTAGTTATGTTCTCAGTTTGTGGGTTGTTTTATATGTTTATCAGTTTGATTACACAAACAGAACTTGATGGATTTGCCGTCGGGGGCAGGGAAGAACTCATTGAATGTGGTTCAGATCTGAATCAGGGGACAGATCCAATCATTTTTTTATCCCTCTCATTTTTTGGCATCTTCAACAATTTCCCAGGAAAGATTTGATTGATTTTTCTTGATATTTGGAAAGTGATTAGTTCAGCTTAATTGTATTTATGGGGACTATTTCACCTTGGTGGATTAATTATGTTTTTTTTGTGTAAACTCTTGTCACAAGTTTAAGGACAGATAAGAACTTGTTGTGAAAAAAGCAGTTTTGATCCACAGACCTGTCCCTATTCATCTTTTTTGACTTATGACTGTCCCAGCCTCGGCCCACATTGTGTGTGCTGTGTAATTTCCTCTTTTCCGTCTCATATATCATAGGAGAATAGCGACGCGCTGCACTGTTGATGAATGGCTGCAGTTGTTCTCATTCTACTGCATGAACTCAATGGATGTTGTGCACATTCATGCTCAGTCTCACACACACACACACACACACACACACACACACACACACACACACACATAGCGGTGTCCCTAAAATGCAAATAAGATGACACTGATTTAAACAGACAAACACATGCCTATGCACTCACACTGAAGCCACACAACCGTCTGTGGTGTTTAAGGTGTTCTCAGATGATGAGCAGTCTCTCTGAAGAGGTGTGCAGTATGAAAATCAATAAAATCCTGAGGGAAAACACTGATGTTTCTTAGTGTTTCTTAGTCCACAATTGTTAGATAAAGCCAGAAGCACTCACACTAACAGAGGCATGCTCACAAACCACACTGCACTGCCATACACAGTCCTACGATGATAAATTTCCCTGGAACACTAAGGTCTGCATTTGCAGAAAATCTTATTAACCCCATTTGTCATTTTTACTTGGGCGGAGGAAGCTCAGGATGGACCGATGGACCGATGGACATGTTATTCTTCATGGGTTTTGTGGAGAGAAAACTTGGCTCTTTGGTTGCCTCACAATTTATCACCAATTTCCAAAACTAGTCATTCCTGAGTTTTCATGCTATACCACTCATTTCTGTCATTTTTTTAAGGCAAAAAAAGTGAATTTTATCTAGAATTTAAGCAATCAAAGAAAAAGACAGCTTGTTAATGGTTTAACTTTACAAACAGATATGAGCGATGTATTTATATAGTTTGTCTTTCCCATATGAAGAATGTGAAAGCAAAAGTTGTGGGACATTCAAGCAGTCCAACAAGATTAAAAATAGGGATAAAAACAAATCAACATGCAAATAAACCTGAAAATGTTTGTATTTGGAAGTATCCTAAACATGTTTATCTCATTGAGCCTTTTACAGTAAATTCTCAGTTCACAGTTATTTGCTGACCAGTTCGGTTTTTTATAGAAAAGGCTTCAGAGAGCTGTTGTAGCTGACATGGTGACATATCTTGTTCTCTGTTTACCTGTAAACAGCTTTTATCAGATGCCAATGCCAGTTTTTCACCATGTGGCTGACTCTGCAGTAGGAGGACGCAAGATAAGAGAAGAATGAAACTTGGCTGCTTTGGTATTTAATCATGCTGCTGGTTAGCTACTTATCACAGCCTATTCAATGTTTTCACCACTCCTGTCTTTTGGAATTGGATTTTCTGGAGACAGCAGGTCTGAAATCCTCCATGCAATCAATACTTTATACCAGCAGTTCTGGGGCCAAAAGATATTCATGTCAATTGTCACAGTGCTAATGAATGGCTCCACGAAGCCCAATGGAGTGGGAGAGAAATTCTGTTTCTCGTTAAAAGGTTTTTTTTTCATGGTGTGACGTGATTTAGCTTTTGTCATTTAGTCTCGTTCTTTTTTAAATGACGGTACAATGTGGCAGGAACTGGCCTCTGTGTTGGGCCACAGGTGATATATTGGATTTCTTTTCAGATGGAAGTGGAGCAGATTAGAGGGATTTATTCTAATCATAACAGGGGTATGTGATTCTGTAAATTATGGCAAACATAAAAATAAAAGGAAACTGTTTATTAACTGGGATTGACTTGTCTGATATTGATTCATATTTTCCTCACTTCTGCTAAAATGCAGTTTTTTTTCTTAAGAACCTCTTTCTCTATTTACTAATGAGGTGTCTAATAATGTCTCTTTGGTTGTACACATAGGAGACTCAATAATATACTGTGTTTATTATCTGTAATTCAAAATGATAAGAAAACATACTCTGGTTTTTTTTTATAAGCAGACATCACCGCTTCAAGACGTACATTTTGTTAATTAAGTTCTGTTTGTGAAACCACCATGGCAATAAATGCTTGTATCTAAAACAAGATGGGAAAAAACAGATCCCTCTTTATTGTATCAATTATAAATGACATCCACAGCGAGTTATTTCATTTCTGGAGGCTTACAGATATTAATGTGACATGTGACTTCTGAGAATAATCCAGCAGCGGTGGTTCAGGAGGCTTCAGACATAAGTTGTGAAGTTGAGGCAGCAGTTGCTCTGACAGCGTTTGCTCACTGATGAGCACAGGAGGATCACTGAAAGCTTTTGGATTAAATCCCCAAACAACCCCTGGAGTGATTAATGGACACAAACACGTTCTGCTGCCTAAACGCTGAAGCCATTCGTCTTCTGCGAACGTGACGCTCACCTCCTGCCAGTTAGTTTTTGTCTGATAATGGGAGAATTCATGCTTTTTCAAAAACCTGTGAAATGAGATAGTAGCTAGGACAGTGTTCATTAGGAAATTAGAAAAAAAACAATTTAGGTGAAGGCAATGACTTTGTGTGAGCATGAGCTCTGACGGTGAACGTGCTGAATGTGTCAGCAGTTTACTGAGGTGGACAATTGTGTGTTGTTGTGTCAGCAACATGAGATGAGGGCTGGAGTAGGAGGTGTGTAATGTGACACTGACTCCTGAAAGGAAATGAGAGGGAAGGGGAGCAGATGGGTGGGGAGAGCAGACGGGATGGAGGAAAGAAGGCAGATGGTTCTTCTCTTCCATTTGATTTTATTGCATATTATTATATTTATTTTGATGTAATCAAGTGGTTCATTTTGACAGTTTTCTGTATTAAATCAATTATTTGAATCATTTTTGTAAATCAGATTTATCTCCAATTTTCAAAACTGTTCACAATTTTCATTCTGTACCAGGATCAAGAGACTGAATCTGGAGTTTTCTACATGTAGGGCTCCTCTTTATATATTTGTAACTGTTTTTTCAGGCTGTCACGTGGGTCTGTCATCCACACACCCACGTGCTTGCTATGAGTTCTCGGTATATTCTCCTTCTGTATTCTCCCATGGCTCACTCAGACATTATCCAGAGTTTTTCCTTGAAGCCTGGCAGGAGAATATCTGAAGCAGTTGTGTTTCAGGAGAATATCCGGAGTTCAGTGCACGTCTGAAAGCAGCTGCAGTGAAAGCAAAGTCAAAGTGTGTTCGAGATAAAAAGAAACATGTCAGATGCCAAAGAAATCTTTTCCTCAGATTTGTATATGTTCTCTCATTATACAAAGCTTGGAGGTGATTAGCATGTATATGTGCGTGATTATACAACAAAGTAGAAGAATTCAGCATGTGGACTCATCAATTTCCACTTTTACCTCACAGCAATTATTAGTTTTCACGCAGCCTGCAGAGGAAATAATCATCTCTTGTGCTTTCAGTCCTAAAACCAGTTTAATTACCTCTTGTTCATGTACAAGTTCACAGTAAAGCGAGTGTTGCGTTGAATGTGTCAGATCCAGTCTGACACTTGGTTCATTCTGCCCCTCTCTTCGCAGATAGATGTCACAGCTCGTTAACTTGTGTCACGCTGTCAAAAACCTGTGACGAGGTCTCAGCAAAGTCGTTTTTTTTGTCAAACCTGTTATGTTAGATGCTGTTATCTCTTGAAAACATGATAATATGATTGAAGAAAACTCAAATCTTTTCCTCCATCACACACTAACACACACTTTGTAACAATGTGCTGGCAGGTCTCCTCTGAGGCCTGATTGTTGCAGAATTATCAGTTTCTGATGTCGCCCTCAAAGAAATGGCAGCGAGGGAGCTGCTCCTTTCTCCTCTTTTTCTCTGACTCTCATACATCCCCTCTGACACGCTGCTTTCCGCCCTCTCTCCCTCTCTCCCTCTCTTTTTAACTGCTGTCGCTCACTCAGTCCTAAAGGTCCCGGCTGATAAGCTTTGCCATTTAAGAACTCGGTGACATTTATGCTGACTTTAAAAACCTGGTGAAAGGACATGTACCTTCTTTATAATTCATTTTCTCCTTCTTTTCTTTTCAGGGCGGCTGGAAATCGCGCCACCTACTTCAGCACAGTTAAGATATGGTAAGAAATCGAATTTATTTATGAATCTTGGTGCGTTTGTATTTCATTGTTGATAAAGTGATGGTTGAGGTAAGTATATTATTAATCTTGTAATACAGCCACCTATTGACTTATCCTTCATTCAACCAAGAAGATCACTGAAGGATTTATCTGGTTTAGAAATTACTGATCAGGTTACTGTGGTTCACACACACTACTTTGTTTCCATGGTGACCCCCAAATGAAAGGGGAAAACGTGCTGTGCATGAACCTGGCATTAAGTAGTTATTGCACCCGTGACCCGACATAAATTTTTATTCCAAGTGTGTGAGAAATTTAGTATGAATAAAACTGATCAGCAGTTTATTGACTTGTTTCACAGGGCTCACATTCGTTTCCACTGATATGTGCAGTTGTCTTCATTGAATCTGTGAAGATTCTCAGTCATCCAGGTCATGGTATATCCAAGTGCTAAAACAGGTCAACTGGACTATGTTGAGTTTCTTGTCAACGTTTCTCTTCTCATCCAAGAGGCTTCTTCAGTTCTAACTGACTGGAGTCCAGGTATTTAACTTGGAGACTCCCTGGACCTGTGCATTGGGGAAACTAAACCACCCCTTTCATAAACGCAGGGCACAACACGGGAGAGCCAGCACCTCAGGTCAGGACTCAGGTCAGTCCACCTACATCTAAAGGACAAAGGGCATTCATCTGAAGACAACTTTGTCCACATTTTGGCCAGGGAAGACAGATGGTTTGAAAGGGGAGTGAAGGAAGCCATCTACGTCAAACTAGAATAACCATCTCTGAACAGAGGAGGAGGTTTTACGACACCACCTATCTGCCACATACAACACAGTCCTGACTTCCATCCCCAGGAAGCTTCGCTGCAGTTCACACCTTCACTCCTTCACTCCGCACCTCAGCGACTCCTAACAACCCCACAAGTTAAATACCTGGACTCCCAGCAGTTAAAGCTGAAGAAGCCTCTTGGATGAGAGGTGAAACGTCTTCAAGAAACTCAACCAAGTCCAGTTGACCTGTTTTTTTTAGCACTTGAAAATGACAAATAAAGTTGTTGTCACTCAGGTGAGCCCCTGTATGCTTTTAAGAAATTAGATTTTTTTTTTTTAATTTTACAACTTGCGTACAAATTTCTCGTCGAGTGTTTAAACTTCTCATCTTCCTGCCTGGTGCAATCACTTAAGCTGCAGAGCCAAGAACAGTCTCTCTTGGGTTGTGTCAATGACAAGCAAAATAGTCAGCAAACCCCCAAAAGCCTTTGATCAACTCTTCACTGAGCGGACAAGGAAGTTAGAGAACAGAATCCTGACAGATAGCCTTCATCCTCTCTTTAGCCAGTTTGTGCCTTTCAGCTCCGGGATGCGCTGTATTGTCCTTCTGGGAACTAAAAATGTCCTCACAAAGTCCTTTCATCCAGGTGCACATCCATCTCTCCATCCATTCATCCCATCTGTTCATTCCATTCATTCATTCCTCATTCTTCTATACCACTTCAGTAAAAATAGACTGGATTTGTAGATAATGGCCTAAAAATGTTTGGATAAAGTTATTTACATGAGTTTTGTAATTCAAAGCTCTTGGTATCATGAACTGTTTTTGATGTGAGAAGCTCAGTTTAGAAAAATCTCTTCAGAGCATGTGCTACTAAGAATAGAAGGTCGAACACTCACATTCAAACACAACAGAATATTCGTGCAGGCATCCTTCACTCTACGCTGCTCAGTTACTGACATGACCTCAAACCTCTGAGACTTTCCAACCACCTCCCCCTCCTCCTCCTCCTCCTGCTTCTGCTGCTGAGAGGTTGGAAACACAGCATCATTCATACTATCACAGCTTTCATTTAATAGTGAGATCTTTGTGTGTCTGTGGCAGAGACACAAACACAGTATCTCCTCTGGTCTTCCACTTGCTGCACTGCAATGCAGTTTTTCCTGCTTTGGCTCCTCAGTAAAGAAAACACAACTTCAAGCAGCCGTCACTACAGCAACGATTTGTTGAACACAGCACTCGTGAATTTTCTCAACTCAGCAGAGTGTTTGTGTTGTTGTGTGTATTGTTGCCTGGTTTTATCTTTCTGGAAGTTAAGCATGTTGAGGAGAACTGATTGTGTGTGTTGGAACACATTTAATGAAGTGAACCTTGTTGTTTCAACCTCAGTCTCATATCCCCTTTATATATGCTGTATTTGTCAAAATATTGAATTATACCAATTCAAGTTTCAGACTTCCAAGTATGAGCAGTAACAGACCTTAAGAGTTGGCTCCATCCTCTAGAAACAGAATAAAAAATCCCCAAACAGCTTTACAATAAGTCATTTCATTAGAACTAACATAGCCAGAGGAGTCCATTTTTAATTTTCTAAAAGAAGTTTTTTCCTTAAGGCTTTAATATGTAAAACAGTTTAACAAAGCCTGGAGCAACTGGGTGATAAGGGAAGTGGTGGGGATCCCTTGTCATAAAACCTGTACATGGACACTTTCTCTTTAGAATGAAGCTTTGAGTTGATGGTTAATTGAAAGAAGAAAGACACCAGAGGAGTGCGAGGCAAAACCCTCCCTCAGCTGAGACTTGTTGAGTTTATTTTTTCAGCAGAAGCAACCAAACTAAACACCAGGATTGAATTCAGACGAGCTGCAGTGCTCTTCAGAATTCAGGCAGAGTTGCCTCTGGTGTGGCGTTAAAAGCAGCCTGTGTTCAAGATACGAGTGAGAAGGTGTTTTGTGCAGCGGGGCTCAAACAGTGAAAGTAGAAAATCTCAGTGTGTAGGATTCTGAAGGAGAGCTGCTGCAGGACAACCACCTTAAAAACAGAAATTATTCAGCAGTTATTTTTTAAGCACTTTAAGCAAACAATTAAAAGCAGTTACCAGTGTGAACTTCACTTGAACTAGAATACACTGAACCTTCCTCAGGCTGACATTTAGAATTCACTTTCACGGCTCCAATAGTATATTACAATATATATCTTATATGCACACACACAGAGCCTGAATTATTCATGTATAGGGATGTATGCATTGTCGACATATTTCCATTTTTGTAGCCTCCTGGTCTGAAAAATAAGATGCTTGATATCTAGGACATCGTTCACACTAAAGATCTTTGTTGGACATCAGCGTCCATGTTCTCTCTCTCTCTCTCTCTCAGGCTTCCCGCTACAGTGCAATGCCATGCAGATTGCTGTTAGGTTAATTGGAGTCCATGGGGTGAATGTTTGCTTGCCTCTGTATGTTGGCCCAGTGATCAATTGTGACGTCTCCATGGTGTAGTCAGCTTCTCACTCAATGTCAGCTGGGATTGGCTCCATCAAATATCTGCATTAAATATCTGCCAATAGATCCCTTTCACCTAAATCTTACACACTGGACCTTTAACTGTTTTCTATGTCTGACACTGAGAATTCAAGGTTGAGAAACTTTTAAACATGTTCTTCACCCTGTGGCCTTGTACCAAAGTCTTTTACAAAGAGAATATGGACTTGGAGCTAAACATGGCCCTTGCATACTGATGGAAGAGACTGACTCTGCATGACTCCAATCACTTCAACGTCACCTTTACCTCTGTTATGAGACTTATCATCTACCAGGGTTGGTAACAGCTTTTTTAAGCTGTGTCTAGATTTTGTTTTGGACCCACACTAAATCATACACACTCATAAGCACAGCTGCAGTGTTTATTTCTAGTGATTTAATTCTCTGGTATCTTCTGTGTTCATTATGTCACGTATCTGCTCTGGGAGGCTTAATTGTGTCTGAAAGGTTGTTATTAATGAATGCAGACTTAAACACAATCTGTATGCATTGTGTTTGTTTTGTCTGTTGGTGATTTATCCTTTGTTTTTGTTCTTACAGTTCTGCTGCACAACGCAATCCCTTTTGTTGGATTTGGATTCCTGGACAACTGCATCATGATCGTTGCTGTAAGTGTTGAATGCTGCGGTCCCCCGCAGCTCAGTGGGTACAGACATTTACTCAGTGCTACCCGGGGAAGTGGTGCATTGAGAGAATATGTTGTGTGGGCTTGTGGTGCTGAAGGGAACCTTGCACAGTAGAGTCGAGGGAGAATGAGAAAAATAAATCACGGTTGTTTGATCTAGAACTGTAGATTTCCATTTTCATGCAAACTGCAGCTCATCTCTGCAAAGTTGTTCAAATAATGAAATCTCATTGGAACTGAATTAGGACGGCTCAGAGAACAGAAGCGGAATATATTTTTCTGACGTCACTTTAAGTGTTCTTGCACAGCGTGGTTATTTTTGTAAGTCAGCATTGAATTCTTATCCATCCTCTGCAGGGATTTAGGAAGACAAATGCAGAGAGAGAAAAATATACACAAGAGAAGCAAACTAAAGAGAATAAATCTAGTAAATAAAACATTATGTCATCACTTTGCTCGAAAACCAATATACTGCTACAAAAACTAGAATATTTAAACCACACAAGTTTAACGTGGGCTCAGCAAGCATATAATGTAATTTTTAGACTTCAAGTTTCTGTCTTCAATCTGAAAAAACTGCTTTTTTACTATATATTTGTATATGTATGTTAATGAATAGAAAAACGTTTTGGGCCAGTGGTGACCCTTGTTACTTGTTGAAACCTTGATACTGGTTTAAACTATGACATTTTGGATGAGATCATTTCAGTTAGAAAATAAAGCAGAAACAGACTTTGTTGAGATTGAAAATATCTCATTAGAGGAAGTTGTCACTAATAGGAATTAGAAACACAATGAGCACATTTACAGTCTGACTATGAGACACAAATGTGGCAGTTATCCTCAGCATTGTGTTTCCCTCTCTTACAAACAAACTTCTGTAATCTGTGTGTTGATTAATGTGTTTGTGTGTATGTGTTGTTTCTCAGGGCACTCATATTGAGTTATCCATCGGCGTTGTCCTCGGCATCTCAACTATGGCAGGTGAGAGAATCCCATTCGATCCTAATGTGACTTATAATCTGCTTAGAAATGTGTTTTTTCAAAAGCATGTTTTTGTATTTATGGACTTTGTTCATGTTATTTTGTGATATTGGAATTTATATCTCAGTTCTTTTCTTCCTTTTTTCCTTTGAAGCCTCTTTCTTTGTGTCTCTCTTACTTGACTTCCTGTCTTTGTCTGGTATTCCCACTCCTGTAACTGTCCACACCTGCAGTACTGTGTCTCACCTGAGTTCAGTCCTCCCCGGCCTCTTTTATGTCTATATATTCTCTCTGCTCCTCACTCTTCTCTGTCAGTTCATTTGTTCACATCTCTGGATTTTCCTCAAGCGTCTGTTTTACTGGTTTGTGCCTATTTACACTCTGCGTGCTTTGAGTTTGAACTCCTAGTTTGCTTGTTTATCTGTTAACTGTTTTATTAGATTCCACACACTGTACCTGCCTTGCTTTTCGGGCTGCTCCACAGTCTTTCAGAAACTCAAAAATGGGACAAATATCTGCACTGGCGACTCATCAAAAACTGTAAAAGTCTGTAAATACACTTATTATTCAGTCAGTTACATGTCTGTTGTGACCACCATGTAAATAGGTGTCTCCACTTCCGCTGTGTCTATCCAGAAATGAAACTAAAATATTCTGTACACAAAGGCTGCCAATCGTCGGAGCCAGAGTCTGTTCAGTAGCGATCGTGAGGCGGAGGCGCGGTAGCGAGTCAATCAGCTATCAATCTGGACATCTCACCCCGTTTTCATAGCATCAAATAACTAATTAAAACCAAAATAACTGGGAAAAAAGTCTGAATTTGAACAAACATCAGTGTGATAAGAACTACCTGATTATCTTTGGAAGAAATTTATTCAAGTGTTGCTTTGATTTTGTAGTTTGGTCCATGTCCCATCAATTAACATGGAGGAGCATTTTAGACGCTTTGGGGGAGCAATCACACTGTGTCTTTATATACATCACACAGAAACATGTTTTTTTTTGTGTGGTCCACTGTTTTCATCCTAATATTAGTATTGTCTGTCGAATCATAATGGACAAAACAACAGTAGAACGAGACATTTCAGATTTCAGCGAGGACAGAAGACTCACTGAGAAGCTGTGATGATACACTAACAATCTGACCACTGCCCTGACACTAATCCAAAAAGAAGTGAGAGGATAATGAAACACAGAGTGATAATGATCATTTCAAAAATATGATAATGGTGTTCAGCAGCAGTTTGAGTGGGTGGCGTCATATCCACTTAGTTTAAAGAGGCACATTTGCATTTTAATATTCTCACCTGTTCCTATTCTACATCTGCTGGTAGAGACCCTGAGGTTTTTATATTACACCACAGTGAATATGAACTGCACTGATGAAGCATGAAGATTGTTGCTATTTACATATTCAATAACATTTTAGCAGCAGCCAACACTTCCACCTCTACCCTGCCCAGCTCTGCAGGTGTTAGCCTGTGTTATTCCTGTTGTTGCTGATGAGAGTCAGTAAACTGATCTGTCTTCAAGACTTAGATGAGTCATTGCTGAGGCAGTAAAGGAGGAGAGGATGTAGAGGGCTGGCGTTTTTTTACCTCCATTAAAGAGGTTATGTAGATGTCTGCATTTTTTGTTATCTACAGGATAGATTATCACAACTTGTTTGAAGAATGCTGTACTGGTCAGGAAAGAACCAATTAAAGTTTGGTGCAGATTCAGGGACAGATCCAGGTTTTTTTTTTCCTGGAGGATAATTGATATTTTGATAAAAGTTAGGGATTTTTAGGGGACTTATATTTATGAGTGTGTGAAATTTGTTACAGATGTAAATGAAAAGGTCTAGTGACATAAACGTGGTTTCATAAGGGGACTGTTGGGCCTTGGCAGAGGTACAGTGTGTGCTTCTGGTTTTATATTGTGTTTGACTGAGAACTTGCACGATTCAAATAACCTGATCAGTGCAGATTACAGAGCAAAGACAAACTGAGGTGTAAAATGTAGAGAGGAGTGAGTTGATCCTTCACTTTGGTTCTTAATGTGTGTCAAAGCAAGTAAGACTTGATCCTGCTGCAGATTTCTCATTTAAACCTTTAATTTTGGGAGAGATTGTGATTTTGATGAAGCCAAAGATGCAATTTCAAGCCTGGTGGGATCTATAGAGCAGAGAGTTATCAGGTTCCAAGTCTGCAGGCAGAAAATATCAAATTAAATTTTCTGTCATCTTTACTTCGCAATATTTTTAAATCTAGATTTGACAGTGAGCTCTTGCTACAAATATCAGTTACTTGTAACTGACTTCCCAAGAGCCTGGACAAACGCTGATGTATTCATTAAAAACAGACGGAGCTTCTGTTCTTTCCTCCAGCACATAGCCTCAGCCCCATTTCTCACTCAGACTCCATTTTCACAGCAGTTGTTACTGTTACTCATTCCCGCGACATCGGGCACATTCTGGGGTCTTTGCGACTCTAGAGGCTGCTGTTATCTCACCCGGTCCACAGTGATTTAACACTAGTGTCAAGTCTGGAGTCAAGTCCACCAGTCACACGGTCTCCAGGAGGCAAATGTGTCTCAGCTGATTCGAGTGAAGCTAGAGGCTGCTCTGAGTCGAGCTAATTACATAATTTGAACAGAGGTAATGATGTGGAAAACCTCCAAAAAAGGATTCAATCTCTCAAAAAATACTCAAGTTATTAACAAAACATCTGCCTGCAAGGACCCATGCCCGTTCAATCTTCACAAGATGGTACATTTCAAATTGATTCACATGAATATATTAATATTTACATATTAGTTATATATGTTATTTGTGTGTACAGGGTGTGGCCACATCGTGTATCATGGTGTCAACTGATCAGGATTAGGATTACAATGAGATTGCTAAAATATACAATATTTCTACGCACATTAAATCATTAGAATTGTCATTGGTGCTCTGCCTTTCATGCTTTTAAAAACAATGTCTGCAATGGGCAAGGTTACACAAACACACATGAGAGCTCACGTACAGTAAATACACAGACAACTTTAAGTGCTAACCCCCCCGTGTGTGTGTGCGTGCCTGTGTAGGTTATTATTGCTATAATAATTGAAGGCTACAGACATCAATGGGTGTTGCTGAGCCTTTTGTTTCTCAGTATGTGAACATCACAGCAGGTCATTGAGCCTTGCAGACAAAAGCAAGAAACCCCAATAAAAAGTTCCCACTTTCTCACATTTGTCATTTGACATTATTTCACGGCTCATTTCTCATTATTGGTGGAAAATAGAATTGGTCTAGTTTAGCTTCAGGACCAGAAAGTTTTTGGAAAGTTCCTGAGAAAGATCTGTCATAAAGTTAGTTCTTCAATTAAAGGTTCAGTGTGTAGAGTTTAGTGACATCTAGTGGTGAAGTTGCCTGTTGTAGCTGAATATCACTCAGCTCAAAGTATTTTATAGTTAGTTATTTAAAGGGCCTATTCTAGAGTAAAGAAAACAATAATCTGTACAATTTAGATGAAATGAACCAGTGAAAACATCATGAGGATTATTCTATATATTTTCATACTAGTGAAAATATAACTAGGATTATTTTATATTAAATTTCTGCCAGTAGATCCATTTCATCTAAATCGTGTTCACTGGACCTTTAAAGGAGCGAGGGAACAGTGATGCAAGTCTTTCCTATTAGCTAAATCTCCTCAAATCAAAATATGTCTCTCCATTTTATCTGAGAGATTATGAGGAATGTAATGACTCAGCCCAGACATGCTCTGCTCCCTCAATCTCTGCCTTTCTCTGAGCTTTACTCCGTCTCCCTTTGATTTACTCCATCTCCCTTTAATTTAATTAGTGAGAGCGATGGATGGAGCTTGTAAAACAATGTAAGCGTGTCTGCGATGTGTTAATCTACATGTTTTGGAACTGCTCCACTTGTGCGTGTGATTCCACTTCTCATCAACCTTTAGATGTGGGCAGAATCTGAGAGTCAGAATCAGAGAGAGCAGCGAGTTTAAGACCAACATCCGACTGTGGCTTGTCATAACGTCTGAGCTGCTTGAGCACATAATCAAAGCTGATTGGATCTCCATAAAATATGCCTCCTCTGGGGCTTGTGATGTGTAACAGTGGGATATATTGTTATGATTATTACAGCATTACCTCTGTTTTAAAAACCGTAAGGCTCTCATTTAACTAATCTAACCTAATAATCAGTTCTTTGATTCACTTCAAACGAACTGTCTCGTTTTCCAGTGACAAATGAAACAGCAAAGAGAAAGAATTCAAATGTTTTCATAAAAACACATATATTGTTGTTATGTATAATTGATAAACTGAAGTCTAAATGAAAATGTCCAGCCCACATGGACTACAATCTTCCCAAAGAGTACAGCTGCTGCAGTGAACATAAAAACACCATCTGCCACAAAAACTCCCATTCTATTTCGTTTTTATTATCCATCCTGGAAAAAACAAAAGATGCTGCATGCCAATGTGTTACCCCTAAGTTCATATAATGAACATTAAATTCATCTGTAATGTCACTTAAATTACATAACAATCAATTCTTTTCTCCTCAATGACCTTATTCAATGATTTCGGTTACTTTCAGACATGCACGTAAGTCCAGACATATTTCTTGTTGGCGTGAACGTGTTTGACTTGGACTCTCATGCTTCATTCGTCCGGCAAACTCAGAACATTTTCTGGGGCTCAAGACTGAAAACAGCTTCACAGTCAGACAGGGACCCTGCCCTAGTCAATCTTCTTACTTTGCACAGATCCATTGTGTGTTTTGGCTCCAACTGACTGACCAACTATAAGAAACTTTGGAAAGAGTGCAACAAGCTAACATCTTGTATTGGAGCCAAGTAGAACTGACCTACAACTTATTAACGTTGATGCTTTGTAGCAGCTGGCAGGCGAGTCTCTGTTTGACAAGGTCATGGTTGCAGGTCTGGTGGGACACAGTAAACAACACTCAGACAACGCGGCAGCACACATTGATTCCCTTCATCAGACTGGAACTCTGCAGAGTCTTATCTGACTTCCTCTGTGCCCATGAATGTGGCTGAAGCTCCTGTGGATGCTTCGCTCAGACGTGCAGAAGGTAGCTGCAGCCGCCGGATGCTTGTTTGGACTCATTATTTACTGTTTCCAGTGGAGCTCAAAGATTTGTTTGAAGCGATATATACTCTCCTCCAGAGTTGGCTGAAAATTGTGTCTTGTAGCACTCGCAGCACTGCTGCTTTATTTCTGTTCCTCTGAGGGTTTCTGTGCCGCTGCAGCAACACTCTGATGTCAGGGTCATCGACAACAGAGGGGACACAAACAAATCACTTCTTTCTCTCTTGTAGGAGCAGCTGTTACTTGACATACAAAACAAAAGAACAAGCAGATTCCTTTTCCTGGTCTTCCACCCTCATTTACTCCTTGGTCATGTTTCATTTGTCATTTCAACATGTCCTTATCCTATTCTCCTCGGGCATCATATTTACTTATTCAGCAGGGAGCAGGTCAATATGGGCTTCATCAGTGCATCTAAAACACTGTGGTCATCCATTATATCCTGTGTTAAAAAACAATTTCCCAGGGAATATTTCATGGGATTGATTAAAAAACTCGGAGACCTGTGTAATGAATGTAGTTGTAGGACTGTTGGGCTGCAGTCGCTGCTGTCGTCTGTGAAGCTAGTGGCCCGTGAAGATAATTAAAGTGCTTATCTCTCTCTCCTCCTGGCCAACACCTCACCCTCAGCTACAGATGTGTGTCACTCTTTGGTCCAAAAAGGCCAGTTGCCTCTGTAACACTCCCACACGCAGCGTCTTCCTGGCAGTGAGTTATGTATTTGTGACGTTTCGATGGTATAGACCTTCATCAGACAAATGGTTTCTGAGAAAGAGAAGCTGCCTTTGGATCAATTGTATTCTTTTATGATTCAATACATATTTTATTCTATAATGTCGTGATGGACAAAACTAATTACATTTTTCAAATCAATTCATTCCTCTCCCTTTGCCTCTGACATACTGATGGGCCTGTTATCCCACTTACATGTCAGAAGGGTCTCCTCAGGTATTATTCCTTAGATTGACATTGAAAGGACTAAATTTAGCAGCCTCTCAATGTGAAGGACTCTGACAGATGAATCCTGGAACATGGCTGTGAATTGTGTCATCTCTTTTTTTTCCAACATCCTGTGTCTTCTGCCTCGACATGAACCTCAATTTCCCTGCTCATTTGATCGTCTTGTCGTCCATTCTCTGCAGCTGCTGCCCTCGGCAACCTGGTGTCTGATCTGGCAGGACTAGGGTAAGAATATCACACACACACACATATACACAAAATAGGGAGCTATTATGTTTAATCATGTTAGAATAGAATCTCAGATAATTTGGTAATTCGGACTATTGCACTGATATTACAGCAACAGTGTTTTTTAAATTCTTCAAAGAATCCCCTTTAAATTGCTTTTCACTGACATTAAAAAAGTTTGGGTTTTTACCATTGCACGCTGCTTCCTTTAGTGAAGGCGATGTCATTAAAGTCTTCAGTATTAATAGGTAATTATTGATTTTAGCCCAGAGGAAGATAAGCATGAGCAGCAAGGGAGGAAATGAATGAGCCGCCAGAGGTTTGAGTCCCAGAGGAAAAAGACTGAGGCTGAAGGGACGTTACCATGAATATAAACAGTCCAGTAATTTAAAGTGATCAGTGTGGAGTCCGAGCAGGGTGGAGGGAAATCACACAGCCTGCCTTAACTGCACATTTCAAAGTGGATCAGGTAATATTACAGGTGTAGAAAAAAGATTGAATAACTATATATCAATGTTGAACTAATTATTACCATGTTTCCATCCCAAAAAAGTGTCTGTTGAAACCATGCATTAATTATTTGAAATGCAGACATGTGCCTGAGCCCATATTGATTTATGTGCTCCTCATCTACTTCATAACAAAGGCTTGTATTTATGGAAAGAGCTCTGAATTCTGTCAGGATCCTAATGTTCTCTTAACTTTTCATCTTTCTACACATTTCTGAGGACCTAAATATGCTTGTAAATTAACAAAACTTCCCATATATCCAGTTTGGTGAAAAATAATATATTTTATGGATTTAATTTTATATTGGCAAAGCCCCCTGTTTTAATTTTGCCCTTGATGTATGAATTTAGTTTAGACTTTTAAAAAAACCTCTTGGAGCCAAACCCTTAACCCACGAGTAAATCTCTCATTTAGAATTTATTGGTCAACTTTTGGACTCCTTCTAGAGCCTTAATCCAAGTGACACAGACTCTAAGGATGGTGGGCATCAATCTGGCTCTAGTCTTTACCCAGATGTCGGTTTAATATCAGGTTTTGGTCTGATCCTTAAATAAATACATTTTTCTTATTCAGTCAGTTTCTCCAGGTCTTTTGATACAAATCAGCACTACATGTGATTTGTGATGTTGATAGTATCTTTGACACTTTCTGCCCTTTCCAAAAATTATACAGGTTTGGAATTGTGTTTCCATGGCAGCGGCATTTTGGCATCTGCACTGCCTATTTTTCCAGGTTTTCAGGTTTAGTGTTGTTTAGATGGACGGACAATTTTTGAACAACTGCACATTGTATCATCTCTAAAACAAGTATTATGCCCTGTTGTAATATTGAATCACATTCTATTGCTGACATACAAATATCTGACAAGATTAAAAAATGTATCCAGCCGCACTGAAAATACTTTGTCACCAAGCTCAGATTAAAGTATTGTTTTGATTTCTATTTTCCTCCTCATGGTTTCTCCATTTTCAATTTCTTTCTTCTCCAAACTCATGCTGTGGAAATTAATTGAATACCATCTACAAGTTGTGTTTCCAGCTGCTCATCACAGTTGTTTGCAGTATTTGATTAGGTTTAATCAAAAAGCAAAATGAGTCAATGTGAATCAGCTGATTCTTGACTATTATCCCCACCAGAGCCTCCTAGTGGTGACAGAGACCCTGCACCTCACCCTGCTTCACAGACACTATGTGCTCTCGTCAACATTTTGGTTTTATTTCAGTGATCATTACAACATACTCTAGTTTAAATACAGGCAGAGTCAGTGAGTAGACAGACAGACAGAACAGACAGAGACTCTGCTTCTGCCTTTTCATCGTTTCAGTGTGATGGATTAGCAGAGTTGTTGTGGTCTCTCTAAGCGCTCCCAGAAGACACACTCATAGCTCTCCTCGTGTGTGTCTGTGTCTCCCACTCAATCATATTTGGGAAGTAGAGCCCTTGTGGCCAGTTTGTCAAGGTGAGACTCAATTACACCAGACAGGAGAGGTTTTTTCACACTCTGATAGATTTACATCAGAGAGGCTGTTTGTCTACAACACATGAGTCTTCATAGGCCCCTACTCCAGGTGTCTCGCACAACAGCACCTGCATCAAGCCTTTTGTTCAGACAAACAGCTTGAGTCTGCACATATAAATCCTTTGCTTTCATTTACTCTGGGAATTGGAGGCCCTTCAGTTTGTAGTATTAGTATGCATCCTGTGCTGTTCTCAACCTTTATTTACTGTTAGCAGTTAGTAAATGACAAAATACTTCTTTTATGAGTCTGTTCTTACCCATGAATGTACATGTTTTGTAGGTTTCCTATAATTGGCTTTGAATACATTCCTCACTCCTTAGCTGTGTCCCAATTCAGGGGCTGCATCCTTCAAAGGCAGCCAACAAATGCGTGGATCCTTCTTGGGCCACTCTATCCCACAATTTACTGCAAAGTAGCTTCGATTCAGCCTTCAAAGTCTACGCAGTCTGACCGTGTAGACTGAGTCCTCCATTAGTTGTCGGTCTGAGAACTTTCATTTTGGTCTAGATCACAGTGGGTGGAGATATTTACAGAAATCTATCTATCTACTTTATCTCCTGAGTTGTTTGAACATATAGGGCTTTTTTTCCCCACAAAGTAATTGCCCTCATCGCTTCTAGTTTGATGGATGTACACCAACATTTTACAGATGTAATTTGCAACTTGGTTCATTTACATCTTAAATGTATTTATTATTATTAAAATAATTAATATTAAATATTCTCTTCAAAAAGTTTAAACCAAAAAAATTACAATCAAACAGTGGATTTCCACTGTACTGACTCTGCAGTTGATGGACGGACAGAAAACAAAGAAGTGAGGCGAAGCTGCTGGGGCTCAGGGGTTAGAGTGGTCATCCTCTAACCAGAAGGTCGGCAGTTTGATCCCAGTCTTCCTCAGTCCTCTATGCCGAAGTGTCCTTGGGCAAGATACTGAACCCCAAAGTGTCCCTTATCAGAGAGAAAGTCCTGCACATAGATGTGTATCAGTGAATGTAAAACTACTGTAAAGCTCTTTGAGTGGTCATCAGGACGAGAAAAGAATAAACTGTAAAGTGTAAACTATATAAATACAGACCAATTACATTAACAAGAGCAGGACAAAACAAAGAAGACATGACATTTATGTCCACATGAACTGCCTCTGTACAAAAGTTGTTTTTTTTTCCAATCATGTAACTGCACAGCACAAATGTTCCCCCAGAGTCTTACTGGTCAATATTGTAGTGATTACACTTCAGTCACTGTTTGTGAATCCTCCCACCCAACGTCTGTGTCCATCATTTGACTGACACTGACTGAGCTCTGCTGCTCTGCCTCTCTGCTGCTGTATCGAGTTTCAGGTGTAATTAACTGTGATGAACATTCCTTTATTTAAACATTATTATATTATATAGTTATTTATTTGACTCAGTTTTACAAGCTCTTAAGCAGGGAATGCTGCTAAACTGATTATTGTTGAGGTTTAATATGCAGTCATTAAATCTATCCATGTATCCATAATGTGTAGCTCTACCTCTTTCTACACCTTTTGTATTCTGTAACAAATTGTAGAATATCCCATAGGATCTGTGTATTATAACAAGTGGATCAAGATAAATGAATGCACGATTGACAGTTTCATTTCTCAGATATTGTTTTGTCCGTGTGATGCGTCATTGATCCCTTCAGGGAAAATGTTATTACATGTGTCGTCCTCTACGAAGGTTTAGAGACAGAATCTGTTATAGACCAGAGGGGATTCAGTGTCAAGGATATAACTCAGCAGGACGGATATTTGTATGTGGTTTAATCTGAGTTCATCATTATGAAGGATAATCTTGTTCATATCCTACATTTTAGGAAATGCCTTTATAATGGATTCTTTAATTTAAAAACAATTAATTTAATTGTTTTGATTTAGTTTGTATTGGTTGTGAATGCATCTGCTTGGGTTTCAGTCTCTTCCACTTTAATCTCATGTTAGAGAACAATCCCAGGTCTTATCTGATCCTACTCTCAGTGAATTTCATCATTTTTTAGGTTTTGAATAGTGCAGCGTTTTATTTTCTGACGCCAACCTGATTTATTTTGCTTTCTGCTGCTGCAAGTGTGTGAAATTGACTTGAAGGCAGGAGTGTGTGTCACTGTGCAGCAGGTAGCAGACACATCAGACGTTGTGTACGAACACGGCGGCTGGCTTTTGAATCTTTGATGAGTTTGCATTTCATTAAGTTTCATAAGTATCGTGAAAACAAAACAGTTAAAACAAATGTGACCTTATTCACACAGTTTATTCAAAACATATTGTCTGTAATGATCATACTCTATTTGATTCACACGTCAGAAGGTTTATATCTCTACTCTGTTATTATATATCTATTGTGATGAACAGCTGTGTGCTGCAGCCTCTCTCTCACACACACACAAACACACACACACACACACACACAGTTTCCCTATCTTTGCATTGAAAGTGCTCTTTACTACTTATCACTCCCCTGACTCGACAGCTCAAGCTGCAGCTTAGTTGTGTGAGCAGTCAACTGAAGATCCATTCGCTTCTCTGAAATCCTGTACTGACAGTGTGTGTTTCTGCAGACTCAGTTGACACATTACAAGACACACGTCAGTCAAGAACAGCAGCTTTCCAGATGAAACAATTACTATTTTTATTATTTCTGTGATTATTTTGGTCATTAATCTGTCGCTGTTTGCCACTGCAGTAACTTCAGTTGTTACCTCAGCTCATAGCACTCCACTCAAAATGAAACTCTTATCATCAGCTGCATGTCAAGAATACAATCTTTGACTGAAGTTATGTTTGGACATATCTTTGATATGATGTGAGAAGCAATGGTCTTTTTAATGTTTATGTACAAATCTTCAGATTCTACAGTATGTGTGTGTGCCCCCCCAAAACAGGGTTGCAGCCATGTGTTAAAACCATCATAAATACAACATTAACAAATGTTAAATAACGAAAATCACAATACAATTCAAATTCTGCCTTCCTATTAAACTTGTATCATTACATATTGCTCACAGTCTTTATGTTTTATGTCTGTGAGGGTTTTTTAAATTTATTCAATCATTTATTCATATATTTTATTCTTCTACTGACCTTTTCTGTGAACTTTATATCCTAAACTTGAGACAGAGTTCTGTCATGGACATACAATATTAATGTTTTGTCCTCTGTGTACTGCAGAGTGCTGAAAAAGATTTGATCTGTTCACACTGAACCTCTTCCTCTCCCTCTCCTCTTCAACACCCTGCTGGGTTTATAAACGTTGTCAGCGAAAAGGAGCCGGGACATTAATTTGCTGATTTGTGGTGTTTGCTGTTCCTATCGATCACTCTTGTCGTTAACAACTTTGCCCTGATGTGGGAAGTGTCAGCCCATGGGTGGTTTAATGGATCATGACTTGTAAATGTAGAAAAAAATGTCAAAAGGGAATCTGAAAGCAACTAAAGCAATAGAACATTGACACAAAATTAGAATTATAGCAGTAGTCTAATCTCGATATGGTGTGTTCCCCATTTGTTTTTCATTTTCAACACACAAGTCTTTGTGACCATGTTTCCTTTGACCCGCTCTTCTTTGTTTAAAATCTGAAGCTTTGAGTAAATTGCTTCACATTCACGTAACACAGACTTTAAATAAAGATAGATAGCTCGTCTCCTCGTCCCCCACTGTCCATGAATGAAACCAAAATATTCTCCATGCAAACGCTGTCATCTTGAGCATTTGGACCCAGAGTTTTCACTGTAGTGATTAGAGGGTTGAGCAGCGGTAGCGAGGCCCACACGATACACATGCTCGACTGATCACAAGTTAGTGACATCAAATATCAAATAAAAAACATAGAGTTGAAAATGAAGACTTGAACAAACAACAGTGTGATAACAACTACCTAAAATGTGGCTGGATTCATGTCCCATCCACTAACATGGTGGTTTATGACCTCTGCTGCAGCCAGCCACCAGGTGGCGATCGAGACACTTTGGGAATAGATTTTATTTTACTGTATTTTGTAGTTAATCACAGTTCCTCCCAGGAGCTTAATGGCTCAGTGAATAGAGGTGACCCATTGTTTCAGTCATATTGTTAACTCTCTTCTTTCTGTTTCTATTCCCTGTCTGTCGCTCCCTCTCTCCACAGATTGGCAGGTTATGTGGAGGCCTTAGCGTCTCGGCTGGGGATGCAGATTCCTGACCTGAACCCGAAGCAGGCGGACATGTGGCAGACCAGAGTCAGCTCTCATGCGGTTTGTTCCAACTATTAAAGCCCACAATCGATAACTGTGTAATCTGCATCAGCTCTCTGACTGTCTTCTAGTAGACCAGGACTTAAATGCATGTCTCACATTTCTTTTTTTTAATGTGTGTGAAGGACTTAGGCTAAACTCTCTACATAAACCCTGTCAGAGTTGATATTATTATCAAGCAGGGAGCCTTCGATCGGTTCTATTTATTGTGTGATGCATCGTAAACATCAACTCAGATCAGGTTTCCGTAAATGTGACCAACCAAAGTGTCTGTGATGTTTCCCTTTCTGTCACACGCTCAATCGGCAAGGAAATGAGACCTGAATGATTTTTTAATATGCTGTGACTGCTGAAGTGTGTAATGTATTTAGCTCTAATAGGCTTGAGTGATTTGTCCAGCACCAAAAGGCTCTTGGCTGATTGTAAAAGGTCACGTCAGTTGTTCAGACCTGTTTTATTTGTTTGCAAGCATATGAAAAAAACATGTTGAAGTTTAACAGGAAATCAATGTGTCCAACAGTTTGAACGTGTAGAGCATTGGCGTTCAGGCTTGATCTTCTGTCCTTGCAGCCTTTCAGTCTTAAACAGAACACAAGCGGCATGAAACAACACAGTCATGATGAAGTCTTCTTGTGTCTTGGTGAATTTAGACCAACATAATTATAATTCTCAGGCAAAACAAAACAATTAATAAAGTAAAAACATCGAGGTTACTTATTATTCATGGGTGAAATTTGTTTTTGTGCGGAAGATTTCAAACGTGTGTTTTGCCAAAATAAACTTGTCCTTGCTTCCATTCTCCCGTCTTTAGGGTAAAGCCATTGGTGTTGGCATCGGCTGCATCCTGGGCATGTTTCCTCTTCTGTTCTTAAAGGACGACGACAAGAACAAAGAGGGCCAGACGGAGGGGAAGGAGAATACACAGTCGCCACCTGCTCCGACTGAGAGCGACAAAAACTGAAACTGTCAACTTGCTGAGGACAAATATTATTTGGAATCCGATAGAATACTTAAGCCTGGGATTGATCGGCCTCGCCTGGTGGACCGGAGTGTGTGAAAACCTCACACAGTCTGATGATGTTTGTTACTTTGCCAGGCTGAATCAAACAATGGAAGGTATTCTGAAAAGGGTTTTAGATATTATTTGATTGTATATTTTTAACTTAAGCACAGGGACCTGACCGTCTCTTGAAGAGACACTAGACTGTTGACTCATTGGACTGCTGCTATGTCAACTATTGCACCGTAACCTCACCTCGTTTTTGACTGACGACACAGGCTGAAACTCATATATCTGACACACACTCTGCAGTGGCCTCTTTCTCTCCTCTGTTGAATAATGCAAGTATAAAACTGGGATGACAGTTAGGGCTCCATGAAGTATCACAGCAAAGTTTGGGAACTACGTTATCAGATATAACTCCGATAATGTAGTTCCCAAAAAAACACTCAGAATGCACTTAGCAGAGTGCATACCTCGCAAAGGCCCCTCATGAAACAACATTTAAATTCACTTGATCCAGATTTTTATTTGGATCTGCACCAAATTATGCACACTCATGAATATCATTAATAAAAATCCATGAATTATTCTGTGAGAAATCGACATAAATCTTGAAAAGAAAAAACTATCACACAATGCCGAAGACAGTGAAGTGAGAAAAATATCCTGGATCTGCGGATGGATGACCCACCTCTCAACACAATTAGAAATCAGTTGCGTACTTTTTGTGTAGTCCGTCTAACAAACAAACATGACCTCCTCGGTGAAGATGGTTAGTTTGTCGCATGTATATCATCAGTCACTTGTACACAAAGACTGAAAAGGGCCACACCATCGCACAGTGCATTTCAGCTTGATTCAGAAGCACTAAAAATCATTTAAAGACCTCTCCTGTGTTTCCTGATCAGTCTTTGAAGATGTTGAGTCATACAAAGAGAGGAATCAAATTTGCATACTATATATATATATATACACTGTATATAGTATCGAGTAGAGTACAAGTACTGTAACTCTTCAGTTTTACAAATATATCTCTCTTTCGGTGATGTCAGTCTTAACTAGTCCTGCCTCACCTACGCTCCAGCTACTTTTCTGTTACTTGTCGCGAGCAATTTTATATTTAATGCTTATGATTTCGCCCCTAAAACATTCTAATATTCACTGTGAGCACCGAGGCGGACGCAGTCCTTCTAAATCCTTTGGAGAGCAGTCTGTAACTTTCTGCAGAAGAGTGGAGCAGGATGAGGAGAGAGAGGCAGAGAGCAGCAGTGACAGAAAGATAATGAATCCCATCATTGAACCACCTGAGACCTTTGTCCCATTTCACTCTGACCCTCTGGCTTCAACATCATGTGATTAATCTCGCCCTGCTCTGCACCAGTCGACATTTAGCTACAACGAACCTCCACCATGGCGAGACAGCAACAAGCTCACGTTAAAAGAAATGATTATGGTTAGAAATGTGTTTTTGCTTTCAACACTAACGCACAACTACAGTGCACAACTCCCTCTGTAGCTTGATGTGCAATGTCTCTGCTCTACTGCCCTCCACTGGTGGACATTTGAAAGAGGTTTGCGTTGTATTTCAGACACATACAGGTGTCATTCATCACCTGTTTATTTTCCCTGCTTAGTATTCGAACCACCTCAAAGTCGAGCTTGAATCGATCACTTCATCACTCTATAATTATTGTTGTTAATCATTGTGTTTATTTTGATCTGCAAACTTTAATCTGCAGCATCTGCTCACCCAGGAACACTGCAGCAGGAGGGACGTGTTTAAAATGAGAAAATACTGCTATCAATCCAGTTAATTCAGCTCTTACTGATTTAACTTTTTCTTTTTATTATTCCAGTAGTAGAACTGAAAATTGTTGTGTACACCTTTTAGACTGTTTAGAAGTTGAAATGAAAAAGCCACGTGTCCCAGAAAAGGTATTTATTTTCCTTCTAATAATCATATATGTTGCCACTGTATATTCTCTTTATTTATCTCCAGAATGTTAAGAAAATGATATATTTGTCAACACAAAACATCTTTGTCATTATATTTGCAGCAGCATCCTCCAACAGCAAAAAGAGGGAGCCAACATCGGACTGCTGTGTGACAGTGCATAACTAAACTCGCTCTTGAAACACTAACACACCCACAGAGGAGACTTTGCCCTGTATGATATTGTTTTAGTTATTTATAATGTGCAGAACAGTGATAAAAATGAAACAAAGAATTATGTAGTTAGGATTTTTTGATTTCATTGCTTGATTTCCTTGCATGCACTGCTAATAAAAAAACTATTGTACATGTTTACTTTGTAATAATTTTAGAAAAGACGAGTATGTTCTGAAATAACGCACTGCGGCAGGATATGAGGTGGTGGAGGGGATGGAATAAGACTCAGGCTGGATTAACAGGCACATTGTTGATTCATATATTTTATGACTGATCCCTGCACAGATCTGCTGGGATCTGCCAAACGCAGAGATGGACGGTGTTTGGGTTGGATCAACAGAATGTAATTGATGACTGTTTAATAGCAGCAGAACAATAGCAGCAGTTTACCTTCTTCAGTGCATCTTTTACTGCCTGTCGGTGCTTTACGACTGTCGTTAGTACAAAGAAAAAATACTATAAATTTGGAGCTATTACCTTTTACCTTTTTCTTTGCATCACTAAATGTATAAGTGTGAGAAAAACAAAGAAGATCTTTAGTTGACAGAAGCTCCAAGTTGATATATTATTATTATTATCAATTGATGTGTTTTTATCTGTTACAAACCTTGTGAAGTGTTAAATCAGACCTGAAGTTAAAAAACATGTTCATTCTACAGTCACCACTTAAAATCTATTGGCACTTGTGCAATGAGACTGGTTTTGATTTTTAGCTTTTATATGCTGTTGCATCAAAACCTCTGAAGCTTCATCTCTCCAGGATCAATTCAAACTCATTTTAAAACATAAAAGTCTTATCAAATCTTATCAATTATATATATTAAGTATAAGTAGCTCTGTACATATACACATATAGAAATATAAAAAGATGAGAGAAATTCTAATGATGATAAAAAAAATTATGTAGAGGGAAACAGTGTTTCTGTGAATTAGTACCTGAGTGCAATCATGAGGTCTGGTGTGAACTTTACATTCTACATGAAAACATTACACGTTCCTTTTATTAATGGCTGATGGTACTTGTCTCTTTCTATTTTTAGCATGTTTCAATAATCAAAGACATTGAAGAACGTTTTAATACAACCTGAGGCTGGTGAGATTTTTAAATGAACAAATTAGATATGTTTTGATTTTCAGTACATTTCTCTTAGCTCACAGGAATGCTGAAGAGATTTTGGTGAAATTAGTTTTTCTGCCTGATCCTCTGTTCAGGTTGGAGCTGATCTGATGCTGCTGTGAATTAAATGAGTTCAAAAAACTCCACAAACCAATTAGATGAAAATATAACAGGAGCAACACGATGAGTCAATCAAACTTGGTCTGTTGTCTCCCAAATGTCCTGAAGCATAATAACTTACTTTAGCAAACTCCTGTTGGTTCTTTTTACTCTTAGTGAAACTGGACACTGTTGTACTTTGGTCCTGGAGCTCAGCTTGTGTCTCTTTTCAAGTTTCTTTTCAATCTCTTCATGTTCAGTGAGGCACAAAATAAAACCAAACATTGGAAGAAGGACTTTTTTTATCACTACAAAAAACGTATTATTGTATAACTTCTAAGACCATCTAGAAAATCGTTGTAGAATGAACTAGTTTCACTGTTGCTTGTTGTCGTCTTCGTCCCATTTCCTTTCCCTCCGGTTGTCATTAGCTTTCCTCGAGCACACACTGTATGAAACATGCACACACACACACACTAACAGGTATATTGGAGTCAGAGGGGAACAGCCAGGGGACACGAGGGACAGAGGACACTCTGAGAAGATCATCAGAGATTTAACAGCTTGGGAACGGCGTCGCATAGAGAGGGTTTGACTTGAGTCCTGTGTTAAGAGGTTGAAAACAACAAATACATCTCAATGGCAGTTTGTATTATTGCACAGGTTTTACTTGTTTCTAAAAGACACTACTGTTCATTACATCATTTCAAATCATGATATAAAAACATGTTCGTCTTAAATTTTAAATCAATTCAAACTAATGAATAAAAACTTTTCCATTCCACTCACTCTTTCCTCCATACGGATAATACTAAAATGGTACAGTGGGGTGATAAGAAAAAAATCGCACACATAGTGCACACTCTCACATTCAGCACAATTCATCACACGTACAACTGCAAAATACATACAAATATATTCATAACAAGTATCAAGTCATTGAAATAGCGGCTCATTCATATATTATATTTCTAGACTAATTTCCCTGCACTAAAACACATGCAGACACATGAACATTATTTAGTAATCATTATTTAGAACAGAAAAATAAAGGTTGCAGCTATATCAGTTCGACAAAGTCATACTTGGGAACAGACACACACACAAACACACACACATACACACACACGTACACACACACACACACCTCTTGTGCAGCAAGAGTTTGATCCATCTGGATCAGTGCTTTTCTTACCGATGGCTCTTTTTTTTCCCAGATCTAAATGTTAATAATTTCAGTTCAGTTTCATTTCATTTGCATAGAAATGACTACAGGTCCCTGATCACTACTGACACTTCATTAACTTCGAGTGAGAGAGACTCATGTGCAGGTAAATATTCAAATAATTAACAAAAAAGAAGAAAGAGATTTGGTCTAATTGACTGAGAGAGACTGTCATTAGGTTAATTTGCACATGGCCCCCAAAACTGTTTCCCCCCTAAACTCTGGAATAGTTCCCCTCTGGTATTGATTTAATAATAAATGTTCATTCTATAGAACAGCCCACCTCCCCAAACGTCAACACTTGAATGTTGATCTTGTCACAGAAAATCTAAGAAGTGTGAATTTATGTGATACAGAACTAATAAAAAGGTTCTTCTCTGATGATCTACATATTAAACATTTTAAGTCAAAAAGTAAACAACTTCAATATATAAATTAATCTTTATAAACAATTAATACATTTTCCTGTGCTAAAAAAGTTTAGATCACAAAATCAAAGCAGGTTCTAAAATGCATTAAATTAAAATTGTGTCTTCAACATGTTTAAACACTTAAATATGCTGTTGTATTCTCTACCCAAATACAGAAATGACATTTACATTGATGCATTTAAAGACATTTTCAAGGGTAATGTAACTTTTCTTCACCAAGTACTGAAACACTAAGAAAAACATCCATGCTAACCTTCAGCAGATGTAGCACCAAGACTCAAACCCAACTGAGGTGAAAGGATTGTGAATTTAGTTGAGAAATGGTATTATTAGTGGCGTTCAGCTCACGGTCGGTGTGAGGCTGCACTGGGAGACACTGGAGTGTGGCCGTTTCAGTCAGTCCCACGTGGTTCACCTTCATTACCTTCATTCAGCAGAGTTCACACAAGCAGCAGGCGTCTCAACCTGCGGCTGCTGATCAGCATCGTTATTTCTCAGACCAGAAAATGAACACAGCACCAAACTGCCACTGACCAGAAATATATCTGAAATCGATGTTTTCTACTTTTTCGATCATATTTTCCTCTTAATGTGGACAACCTCACAAAAAAAGAGAAACTCCTCATGTTTTTCTTTCAGTTTGGCCGCGGCTTTCTGTTCAATTACTCTGCATCATGATCTCAGGCTTCAGGCACCGTTTAAATGACAAATACTAACACATTATGAACTGTGTCACTATTACATTCCCCACTGCTTCAGCACAGAGGGACATCACAGAGGGTACTGTATAAACATGACATTAAGGGTTTTTTTGTCTGTGCTCATATTGCACAGTTTCATCATATTTTTACAATTCAACGACTAGTTTCAACTACTGACCTTATTACGAATAAGACATTATTGTGATTATTATTTTCCTTTTCATTCATGATACCCAGCACGGTCTGATTAGGACTCAACATTACACACTCCTACTTGTTTACACTCAAAATCAAGTTATGCATTGTCAAGCAGTTGTTAATGGCCATATGTTGATGTGGCAAAGTACTCAAATATGATCATAAGGTGATTAAAACATACACATGTCTACATAATGCGACAAAGAATACTTCACTTCTTAATTTGATTATTGCTCATTCTGAGTGCGATCTTACTCAGTTTAAGCTCATCAGAAAATGCTACTTGCATTGCAGTGTCTTATTCAGACTATTTTCATAATCGTATTAATATCAGAATATTGGCGTGAGCTGCAAACTGAGCTAAAGCTTGTTGCTTAACTGTTTTGATGTTTTACATATTTATAACCTTTCTTTTCCATGTACATGGCTGCAGCGTGATCTACTGAAACTATAACAAAGTATTAAGAGAACAGTCGAGTCTCCTCACCAGGAGGAGCTGTCATCTCGTTTTAAAACGCTTTTATAGTCGTGTTTTCATGGATCATTTGAGAGCTTGTATGGATTTGAAGTGACTCTACCCAGTGGGAGGAATAGCAACACAGTCCACATTTGTATATGGCAAGGCAAGCATACACACACACACACACACAGACAGACAGACACACAGACAGACACACAGACAGACACACACTCTGGGCATAGTGGGTGTAGCGGGTACACAGGCTCTCTCTCTCCCCCCATGGCATGCTTCTTTGTTGCAGCCTCACAAGGGCGGCCTTTGTGCTCCACCAGAGTGTGACCGAGTGCGAGCGTGTCTAAGAGAAAATATGTGCAAATTTGTTTCCTAGTGCCTGTCTATGCATGAGTTAGTGTTTTTGTGTGTGTGTGCGTCGTCATATTCGTGCCCTCTTCATGAGCTGCTCTCCCACTGCGCTGGCTGATGTCCCACCAGTGGGCAGGACAGAGGTGATAGAGGACAGGGGAGGAAAGCCAGTCTCCTCTCTCTCTTCACACTGTCACATTGTTGTCGGAATGGGCGGCCCGGTGTTGAGATGGGTATGGGGGGGAATGGAGGGAGGTCAGTTTTTCCCTGGTGGTGGCACCAGAGATGTTCCTTCAGCTGTTTTTCTTTCCAGTCTTACCTCTGAGCTTGTCTCATGTATTGTCTTCGTCTTACAATATGGCAGAAAAGCTCCTCCAGTGTTCTTCCAGTGCCAAAGGTTCAAATCCTGTGTGGTGTCTCAGAAATGGTTTCTCTTTGAGGATATTCACTTGTCTTTGAGAGAACACCGTGCACTGAGCGCCTGTTGAAACAACGTGACGGGGGGGGGGGGGTCTACTCTACGACAGTCTACTTTGTCGTTGTTGTTGGAGTGGACAGGCTGGCACTGGGCTGAGAGTGTTTTAGCGGTGGCAGAGGGGTCCCTGGCTTTGTGTTTCCGATGCAGGCCGATCGCAGCCAGAATGCTAATGATGTGCACGTGGTAGTACATAGACCTAAGAAAGAGAGGAGGAAAACCGAGTGTAACTTTGTCACTAATGCACTAAACTAATGTAGAACATTACAGAGAACAGCAGGCTACAAAATCTGTTAACAACTCAAATGTGGAATATTTGTCAAAACGTAAAAATATAATTGAACATAATAAACATGAGTCGCCAACAGACAGGGTATTTATTTTTTACGCAAATTATTAAATTATAAGTTAATAAATCAGTTAGTAGAATAACAAAACAACAGCTGCAGATTAATCTGCAAATATCTTGTAAATCAATTTAGACGTTTTATGAAAGAGAATGAAAATGCTCTGGTTCCAGGTGCATCACACAAACTCATGCAGTCACACGAATGCATCAAGTGTAAACCAGGTCTGAGAGGATTAGATAACTAAAGCCGGGGGACGTACCTGTAATAAACCAAAGTTGGCTCTATTGCAAGAAGTAAGAAAGGCATGACGGTGTAGCAGATGGCGAGCTGAGTGGCTGCCCAGGTTAGGATGTCGTAAAAGAGCTTCAAGCCTGTGAAGGACAGGAAGTTGTGACGAACGGACTTCCTTATCTGGTGGGGAGAGAAAGATGAAGCCAGACGGATAAATAACCATTTTATTTCACACTTGATGTAACACTACTGATTTCAACTAAGTTGTGTGAATATATATATGTATATGTACTTATTATCTTCCTTTAAATGTTTTCCTTACATAAGGTTTCGGTATGTTATATGTTGCTGTGGTGTAACATGTATTTTCTTCAACAGTTCAGTGAGATGCTGCTAAATCATCTTTACCTCACACACTGAAAAGAGAGAAACAGCCAGACCACAGTTAAAAGTCAATTCAAGCCCTTCATACACAGGTACACATCTTTTCTGATGAACACACAGTTCCAAAACCTGTACAGTGCAGTTACAAAAACACACTTTATATATATTATTTACAAGGGCTGGGAATGTAATAAAGCTATCAAAATTAAATTTGGAGAAAATACTCACTGTCCTATTTATACACTTTTCATTTTGTTTTCCAGAGGGGGTAAGGTACTCACTGCTCGTGCTGCCATGGTGATGGGGATGGCGGTGATGAATGTAAAATAATAGCCTGGATAAACTCCGTGCCACAGGGCAGACAGGATAAATGTCAATGCCAACCGGTGCTTGGGGGCTCGGTCGTAACACACACTGAGGAGATGAGAGAAATTAAATAAGTTCATGAGAGTTTATGTAAAATGGAAAGTTAAAGTTCTCAGAGTTCATATTTTGCTGAACTCACAATTTGAGCCAAATTCCTGTTCGAATATTCCAGTTGTCAATGAAAGTCTTGAAACTGGTTGCAGTCTAAAAAAAACAGGGAACACATAACAGTGACTGCGTGCTCTAATCCTCTGGTCAGTGGTGGGCTTTGACCCAAATGAATTTGCGTGACAGTACCTCAATCCTCAAGATGTTGAGGTTGCAGATGAGATCCCAAGATGGTTTTCCATTTTCATCCATCCCCAGGAAACCATAACCTGCAGCGTTGTTCACAGCATCGGCTGGACAGAAAAAACCTTATTTACATGGCAATAAAAACAATAGTGTACGTCCTCTTTATATTGGACAGACTCTGTGCTCACCTAGTGTCCAGGCGAAGTAGAATTTGGGCCTGGCTGCTTGTATGGAGAAGAAAGCGTAGGTGAGCCTGGTGAGGAAGGGGGCGTGGCTGACAAAGTGGGGGTCCACGTTGTACGTTATGGGCAATGAGCGAGTCACAGTGAGGAAGAACAGCATGCAGCCACAGCAGACGAGCAGCTTCTGGCACACAGCGGTCTGCACGGAAACATGATGGAAACACACATCATGAGAAGACATGATGAGAAGTGGACGATACAGATCACATCAAAATCAGCTCAATCTGAGAGAAGGAAATGAGTTATATTACTTAGGAAAGTAGTTATAATCAGTGTTACGTGTTAATGGTTCACTTTTTAGTTCACATGATGCATTCTACAGGGTTTTAGAGCAATTATTGATTTTCTTCAGTTTTTGTCTTTGGCTTCAAACATGATGATCAGAGCCAGAAACGAAACACTGAACCCATTCACTATGTTCTTTAAGGCTCAGGTGACATGTTCTTTAAATTGGAACATATTGGATCTGTACACGACTGGATGCATCCATTCTGTTGGCCCTCGGGGACACATTGATTTCAGCAAGTCAACACAAACCAAGACTATTTCTATTTCTGCCAATTTACTTCTACACATCTTAAGCTAAAGACCAAACAACAGGGACCAAGGTTAATTACAGCTTTAAGAGGAGTTTAATTAAACAATAGGCCGGCGACATTTTCAGACAATGCAGGAGAACAAAGCAGAGACAGTGTGATGGGAAGTCTTAGTACAAAAATATAATAAGAAAGGACTGTTCTAGAATAGAGGTACAGACTATATTCCTATGGTGCGCCTTGTCAAATATATAGATAAACATTCATGATCTTACCAGAGGTGACGGGTTTGGCGTCTTGTCGTAGCCGTTCTGTCCGTTACACACCTCAGAGTGCTGCCTGAGCCTCTGGCTGATGTGTCGTCCCTCGATGAAGTTTATGTAGTCCTTATAGTTACTGCACGGTCCCACCAGGATGCTCAGGAAGTTCAGATTGTAGCTCAGGTACTCGATGAGAGACGGCCTCACTCTGCAGAAAGAGTGAACAGTGATCAGTTCAGGTGAAATGAATTAGTGGTGGTCTATGTGTTTGTTCAAATGAGCTGGAAATGTGAGGAGAGCATGCCATTTATTTTTAAATAAAATAGTACAATTAGAAATGGTGTAAAACTGTACTGTTGATGACAGAGGATGAAAGGGGTACAGAAATGAAAAAGGAAAAAAAAATAATAGAATTTCACATAAATGAGATCTTGGTTTTTGTCCTTTGGCTCTGATTTGAGTAGTTAAAGCCTTTGAGGGAACCAGGTTTTTTTTTTAATACTCAAATCCGAGGAAATCATAAAGAAATTTGCTTTGAGTAAGTTTATTGATTTCTGAAAACAAGTTGGTTTCCACTTGCTTAGCTTTCATCTATCTTACTGTTTATTACATTACAGCTTGTATATACAATTGGTAAATACAGAATCTGCACAGACATCTTAGAATAAAGTATCAAACGTGAGACAATCACCAACTTTACATGTGTGGGGTTACAGGACAAGAATAGCACTATGTGTTATGAGTGTTTATTTGTACATTTTTCATTTTCTTTTTATATTGACATGCATGGAACACTGATGAATGTGTTTTTATTGATTCACATGCATAACAATTCAGTATTTTTCATGCAAAACGATGCCTCTTTTCTAAGTTCCCAGCATGCCCTTTTTTACATGAATAATCTATTCACCATGATGTCCTTGTCATTGTCCTTGGTGGCTGAAGGAAAAGAAAGTTATTTATATTGATTTATTCTTTAAAATAAAGAGTTCATTCAGGCAACCATATCTGCTCACATATGCAACCTTAGGTTTGGGTTTAAAGAAAAATAAGTCACACAGCAACATATAAAAGTTTGTTTTACCATATTTAAAACTCACTTTATCGCATGAAGCTCCTGCTCCGGGGTCAGCTGCTCAGGTTTCTTACACATACCTGAAAAATAAAGGATGAGCAGTATTAAGCCTGTTTGAAAACTTTAAATTAATCTGACACCACCCTGTTTAATCTTTTCTTATCTGTTATCCCCATTACAGGAGATTTAAATGTCACAGTCACAGGGAGACACTTTGTCATTTCACAGTAGGAGGGATGCAGATGTTGCCAGTAAAAATCCATGAGGGCTGGATTCCATTAAGCTGCTTCAGTGCCATGGTTTACTGCACAACGATTCACTTGCTGTGTCACAAGGACAATTATAGCAGCATGGACACCCCTCCCCCCAAACGGTCGCCATCTTGGCTCCGTAGCAGAAGGTCAGAGGCCACCAATGTATTTCAAAGTTGAGAAAATGGCAGCTCATTTTTAGGTTTGAGCGAGCAGTGAGTATACTGTGTACTGATTGTACTACACACTATATGTGTGTACTGACTAAAGTACTTGTTAGAATTGAGACGCAGTGACTGTCGCAATGATTCGGTGACAGGAGCATTCAAATTGAGGGAACAATTATTAATGTTACGAGCAAAATCTGAGTAACTCCTGTAATCTTAGTTCAGAAAGCCTGAAATGAAAAAACGTATGTTAAATGTTAAGAAAGCGTGTTGCCTCCACCGTAAAGAGTGTGTGTGTGTGTGTGTGTGTGTGTGTGTGTGTGTGTGTGTCTTACCATCATGGAGCTGGAAAGCCAGTGTGGTGATTTTCTGAGTTACTATCATCAGAGGCCTGAGCAGAAAAGACAATAAAAACTTAGTGAATCCTGAAATGAGAATAAACATGTAATATATGTACCTGAATATCTTTTTACATATTTCAATTTTCTAATTTCTAATTTACACAAAACTGTGCCATGAAATTTAACAGTGTCACTAAGAAAAATACAAAAACAGATTATCAAGGTCAGATTCATGGTAAAGAAATCGTGGTTTAAAATGTATTAAAAGTCAAACATAAAGACGATCACAGCTCAGCAAGCAAGTCATTGACTATACTGACAGCACACCCTATAAGTCACTGGCTAACAAGAATGACACTTAAAAGAGCAGTCCTCTTAAACTCAATGAAGCTGCACCAAATTACACAGACTCATTGAAATCAAATCAGAATTTATTTGACCTTGAGAATGTCCTCATTCTTTTTCAGCAGTGCCACTTGTCAGATCAATTATTAATAATCCACATTTTCCAATTTTTTTAAACAATGTCTATCTTCAATACCAAGAGAACCAGATCTCTTGTGAAGCTGATGATATTGGATATATTGCCAGTTACATGACTTCATCCATCAGATACTGTGAGTTGTTTCCATACCATTTAACATTATTGACTTAAAGGTGCAGTGTGTAGGATTTAGATAGTAAGGATCTATTGGCAGAGACTGAATTCACTCGTGTGTTTCATCTAAATTCAACGAATTGTTGTTGTTTTTTTACACTAGAATGAGCCCTTTATATTTAAATACTTTATATTTACATCTGGAGAGGGCTGCCATGTTCTTTACAGTAGCCCAGACTGGACAAACTAAACACCTTTTAAGTTTTTATGACAACTGAAGGCTGCCACAGGTTCTAGTTCATGTTTAGAAGGGAAGTGTGAGGTGAGGGCTGTTCAGCTGCAACATGCAACTTCACCACCAGGTGTCACCAAATTCTACACACTGAACCTTTAAGAGAATATACACTTAGTGAAGAATATGTCATGTGTGAGTTTCCTTTAATGTGAGATAACTGTGGAGTTCGTTCAGGTCCTGTACTCCCAACTGACAGATTCACACCCGCACTGGTTTCATTCACAGATAGAGACCTCTCTGTCCAGAGAATGTGAGTGTGTACACACTGTGAGCACAAGCACACATTTAACTATCTCACACACACAGGAGCCAGTGTGAGGGGCCCGCATTGTGCACACAGCCAGGAAAACTGAGGCGGAGAGGGGCCTGGCCATGCGACTGGCAGGGCTGGCTCAGTGAGAGCTGGCACCGGGCTTTAGAGAAATGCTTTCAGGGTGCCAGCTGGTATGTGCAGCACCGCACCACTGTGGCCATCAGACTCTGTTTTTCCATGAAAACCAAAGTGTTGACCCAGTTTGGCTTCTGTTCTCCTGCGTTTGGAAGTGAAATAAGAGAGATTTTAAAGTGCCTGACACCTTCCTACAGGGAAAACTACATTCCCTACATTCGCTGTTATGCCAGAAAAAATCTTAAAATCTCAAACGTTTGCTGTACTTGATCATTTTCATTATATCCTATGTAGTTACACATACGAGCACAATCTCTGTGACTCGCAGCCATTTATCTCTCCAATGTGAAACCTTAATGCAGCTGGATCTTGATTCAATACATGTCCCCCACCAAAGGCTGAGTCAGAGGCCTGGCTGCGAGTCACCAGAGTCACACGGAGAGCAACTGCCGCTGCCAGCAAATTCATCCACAAGTGAACCGGGTAAAGACCCGGCTGAATACAGGAGCAGAGTCAACTTAAACAAAAACAACGACACAGAGAAACTTTATTTCCAACTTTATTTTTCTAGTAAACCCACCAGTACTTACTCAGGCATTATTCTGCCGAAGCACACGTAGGTGTTAGCAGCTCTGTGTTTAATATGTGAATCATGAGAGGTGTTCCACAATAAGATAATCAAGGTGCTAACAGAATGACTCCCCTTTTTATCGAAGCAATAGCATCCTAGCAGTGTGGGAGCAGCTGTGGTGGAGAATATATTTTCAATATGTAATCTTTCACTAAACCAATAACCAGCAATGACGGATCAATCACTGCGTATCTTCTGTTAGAGGAAATCCCCTCCCACTTCTTCTTTGTGATCCTTGTATTGGGATGTATGTTGTATGTAAATCAAGTATTTAAATGTGGGAGAAGCAAAACTCCAAATAAAGAGAAGCATATTTAAAAAATAAACTGTTGTCTCCTAGTGTCAATGAGCACCTTAACTCTCTAACCAGCTGGACAATGTCAACTGTGAAAAATTCCCTCTGCTGCTTTTTAATCAGTGTTGTATTGACACAAGGCCGTGGCACAGTTTAACTGATAACGTAAGAACTGCTTGAAAAGTGAGGGGATGAATACGCTCACATCAGTGAAGGCGTAGCACAAAGCCAGAGAGGAAAAGAGGTGGTGAGGCGACGGAGTGGTTTTTTTTCTTACCCAGAGAAGTCAGTGGACAGTATCCCATAGTTAAATATGACCACCCGGCTCACTTGGCACACTGTCAGGAAGCCCATAGCCGTCACCATGGAGTACCTGCATGTGGAGCGATGAAAACCAAACAAGATGAGAGACAGTTAATGTCAGATATTTCCTGTAAATAATAGCTAGTAGGGCTGCCACCTCTTGGTCATGTGTTCAAGCTTTGGCACATTCAGAAATGTCTTCTGTGATGGTGTTCCATGCTGATATGGATGTTATGACATTGCTGGAAATGGTTGTCACACATTTGGCATCAATATCAATACATTTGATTTGCATTAGGGAATTTATAGCACACTGGTACAATGTGACAAATACACAAGAATGCAGCTTTGTGTCTTTGCCAACAAAGTAATACTTGTTACTTTAATGTTGAATTCCTTTAGAAATGTAATTAATTCATCATCAACATAATCTTACTTTAATCACTTTATTTTATTACTTTACATTTACTGTGGCACCAAACTTTATTGGTGCACTTGTACATTGGAAATGAGTCAAAAGAACTCCTCCATCTTTGGTATAATCTCATTTATTAACAGGGGAATGGATGAATTTAAAAATATGCATGTTTCAACATGCAGCTCAGTGAGATCTGTCTTTAAACAAATGTTACCTTTTCCTGACTTACATGAGGAGCTCCTACTGGAGACCAAAAACTTTTATGAAGTGACTTAATAACTTCAAATTAGACAAACAGATATAAATGAGTCTGAAAATTTTGACTTGCGGACACCAACGTCAATCAAAGAGATCATGTTCAGATGAAATGCTTCAACACTTCTCTTAGATTCTACGTATTAAATACCTGACCCACCTCAGGTCAAAGTAAAGCCAGGTTTAAAGACTATATTACACAGGGATCAGCCACAATGCTGATGATCCTTGTACTGATGTTCTGAAACATGAATACACAGCAGTCACTATAACAGTGATACTACAACTCAACGCTCATGAATCAGAACACACCCAACAGTTTTGTCACTGAATTGTGTTGCGGTGACACATCCCTCCCAGACAAATTCCAATCCACCTCGCTGGTGGCTGCTATAGTCTCATACAATATGTCCTTCCATTCCATCCATTATCTGTAATGCTTATCTTTTTTATCTTTATCTTCCTCTGCTGGCAGGTCATCCCTTTAAACATGAATACCACAGCGACCGACAGTTACCACAACACACTTATGTTGCTCCATTAATGAAGACAATACAAAGTTTCTGTAATAAGTTTGGGCCAAGTTGTTTGAATGCAGGCCAACACACACAACACACACACAAAGTGTGAGAAAGGTATATTCATACACATAAAGCCGAACAAATATACAAGAGAGAAGACACAGTAAAACTCGTACACACACAGTCCGACTGTGTCGATGTAACAGACTGGTCTGGCTGGCACGTCAGGCTGATCTTCACCAGACGAGTTTTGCATTAATTTCATGCCTTCAACAGCTTCAGCTACAAGTTCAGGTCACATTTAAACAGGAGGATAATTAGCACTGTGCTTGGCATTGCTGTGCTGGAATGTGTGGGAGGGAGTGAATGAATGGGAAAGTCCAAGGGGATGAGCAATGAATAAATTTGTTTTAAGGATTTAAATGTAAAAAAAAATGCACACAAAAAAATGCAGTACCACAACAAATACTTCATAAATAATACTTCATTATCTGGACAAGACCATCTGCCCGAGCCACCACACACACCTATGATGTGAATAGTTTCCGGGCTGATCTTGTCCAACAAGTTTTGCCTCAAGTCAACAGTAACTATCATTTCACCATTTTCACTGTAACGTGACAGTGCTTTAAGTAACAACATTTTGAGTTCATAACATAACCATATCTCAGATGCCGATCTTCCACTGTAAGGCAAAGACTAACCTGTGCACGCTGTCGATGTGGGCTGTCACGATAATCACGTAGCTTGTAACCACCACTGTCAGGATGTGAGTTGAGTACCTGTAGAAAAGAACCAACACTGTGAGACAACGTGCATCAGCAGGAATATTTACTCTGTCGATGATACGATGCTGTGTGTGTGTGTGTGTGTGTGTGTGTGTGTGTGCTAATAGACCCTCAACACATTTTCCCCTGGGATCTGTTAGTTGTGCCACCGCATGTGCATCTGCCTTCTCTGCACCTCTACTGTCTACAGCCTCATTGTCCTCCTATAATTAAACCCGTGGTGCTGCACACTGGACGTCTGTGTAATCGTCAGGAAGGTAGATTCATGATAAACTACACCCGACAGTTCTCAGTCACATATTTTCACCCAGCACACGCTGCTCATCAAGGCACAGAGTAGAAAATATGAATGTGGTGCAGCATCATGTGAGAGGATGTGAATGGTGCACTGTGTTTGTGGGGGGGGGGTACTGGATGATGACGTACCATCCGAAGCAGAAGATGAGGAAGGCGACGCCGAGGAGCGTGGCCACAGCGTGTCTGACCAGGGGGTTGGCATGGCGAGGGCTGAGGTAGAGGCGGAACCAGAAGGCGGCAGCCAGGGCGAACAGCTGACATGCCAAAAAATTCACCTGTGTGGGCGAGAGACAAGAGACAAGGATGTGAGTCCAGAGCTGCTAAAAATAGTCAACAAGCCACGTGCTTTGAGTAAATCGACAAAAACAAAAGTAGAACTCACTCTGTGACAGGTTATAATAACTTTTCCCAACTTGTTTCATAGTCAACAATATTATCATCCCAATAGTGTAAGGATGTTTAGCTCTGCAGGTAGAAATTGAAACAGCTGACTGTAAACGAAAAGTAGACAAACTTTTAAATTTTGTCATAAAAGCTTTTCTTTAGATGATTTTTACAACATTAGCTCAACTTGTCGATAGTTACAAAAACTTTTACCCACATATCAAATAATGTGAAATACAATATTGAAGCATGTCTTGCAGATTAAAGAGTGGGTGAAATCCAACAGGACATTTTATGAACATTAAAATAACAGCTGTCTTATGTGTGATGCACTTGGAAAACTCAAATTCAGTCCAAGTGACTTTAAAATAGACATGAACCCAAATTACCACAAATCCAAAGTTTGCTTCAGTAACTTTGATTAACTGGCATCCGGAGAATTTAAAACCCACAGCCAACAGAATAAAAAGTTGTTTTCAGGCACGAACATCACCAGTTTGTTAAAGTGAAAAATCTTCCCAAACAAAACAGTAAAGGATCTCTAGTGATGAAGAGAAGAGAAAATGGGGAAATGTGGCACAACACTAGATAACAGGCGTTTCATTCACAACTCAGAGAGCTGTACAGAAAACAATACCCACGTTGTGATTGAGCTGCAGACAGAGAATCGTACCTGATCCAGGGGGAAGCCCAGCTGGTCACTGACGGGCTGCAGCCACTTGGATCCGGTCGTTTCAAACGCAGCGTCCGTGCGCTCTCCCATCATCCTCAGCTGTTCTTCTGGACCTCAGTTTTCTTTTCTTATTTGATTTCCTATATTTAAAAAATAATAATAATAATAACCACCTACTGTTCGCTCAGTGTTTTCCCCGAAAGCCTCCGTGACAAGTCAAGCCAGTCCACAGTGTGATAGTCCGGGCATGGCACTCCCAGCTCTGCCTCTCTTCCTCCTCCTCCTCCTCTTCCTCCTCCTCCTCCTCCTCTGTTCCCATCCCACTGAAACCTATGACTGAAACACTAAGAAGATAAATAGAGTTTCCGGTCATTGCTACAAAAATAAAAGCAGGGGTTGACCGACGTGCATAGTTCGGTTTTATATCCAGGGATTTAGAACAAAAGAAGAGTAAACATTTATCTAACTTTTGTTTGTATTGTTGTTTATTGTTTCCATTGTCTTGCAACAACTTGTTTAAATCTGTAATTGCACTTCATGTGTTTTATATTGTATGTCCATGAAGTACTTTGTAAACGTGTGCTATATAAATAGTTTGAATTTGTATTAATATTATAATGATTATGATTATTATATTATTGCATAATGTTGTGTTGTGATGTGTTTTGGAAATATGCTGTAATCTGTACGTGATTGAGTCAAAGTGGAGATTATTTAAATTACTTCATATGATGTTGTGCAGATACTCTGAAAAAAGACATAATGTTTTTAAGATGTGTTCATCAAACTTGTTACATTTGTGCATAAAAAAATCTAATAATTAAAGCTGTCAAGTAAATATAATGGAGTTAAAAGTAATTTATTTCCCTCTGCACTGCAGTGAAATAATAGTATAATGGAAATGGATGTAGACAATAACATTATAATTGTACTTTAGTATAGTGCTTTCATTTCTTTTCTTTATTCATTTGATATGGACAGTGCTCATTGAACAGACAAAATAGTGTAAATGAGCCGAAGCTACTTAAAATCTTCAATCGATGTCCTTCGTTCTTCTATTGAATGTAAACCTTTATTGGTAAATATACGTGAACATTTCAACTTATAAACACCATTTGCATTCAGAGGGTTTCTATATAATTTAACAACGGTTTGCAAACAGTTTAAAAATATGATGAGCTGTATGTAAGATGATGACATATCTAGGAATAATTGGATTTCTGACAGACGTTCAGCTTTTAGTCTCTGACCTTTTCTGTGACATTCTGTGACTTTACTCTGTAGTTTAACAGAGTCACTGCAGACCTGACCCCTGCTATGTAATACTCAATTGGACATGATGCTCATCAGGGCTATGCTGTCCTTCTGGATGAGTTTATTATTGTCAACCTCATGCTGAGGGTGGACATATAAGGTTTGCTTTAAGTCCAACAATATGATACATGTTGAGATTTAGAGAAACTGACCTAAAATAAAGACACATAAATTAAAATTAAATTAAAAAAAATAATTCACAGATGTTTTTCAAACCATACACAGTGAAGAGAACTGAGGGATTATAGCTCCCAAGGATCTGTGTAGAAAACTAATAATAAACATGATACTGCCACTGCGGCACACCATGTTAAAAATCAAATTGAGTCATATTGTAGGGGAGAATAAAGGAGAATGTATCTTATTTGACATTTTAATTTGTATTTAGTATCGTCCCCAGAGACGTGTGATTTTTTTATGAAAATGCTGATGTTTCTGTGTTGAGTTACCTTCTGTGACTTTGCATTGCAGTTTGACAAAGTCACTGTGGGCCTGATCCTGCTGTATATATAATATGTGTGACATCTCTACTTGTTTAATTGATCTTTTAATTTGTATTTAGTATTGTTTCCTTTTTTCTTACCACACAAAACACAGATAACAACAACCACAGTAGAATAGTATTTAATGATGATGTTGTCATTCAGAAATTTAATGTCCCACCAAATCAATTTGAAAAATGAGGCGTAATGTCACGTGAGGTGCTAAAGCTATCCAATGCTGCCTCTGTTGTAAACTTAAGTGTTGTGGCGGTAATTTACTGCATCAGAAGAAAAAGTATAGATATATGAAATATTACTAAGCTGGTGTAACGCAGATTAGTTTTGGTTAGTACATCGTGTTTTCTGTTTTTTGTAGGTTGTTTAATTTACCACTTCACTGTCCGTTCAGCACAGTTGGTCGCTTGCGCCACCTAGCGTCCTGTTGGGGAACACGCGAGGCGTGACTGGTGACGACGCCTGTTTACAACTGCCAATGAACACGTGGCGCACCGGATCCTGTGCCGTCATTGGTTGCCGCGGTCGTGAAGCAGGCGGGGACTTCTTTCTGAACCGCCAATAGCGCGCGGCATGCAAATTCCGTTTGAATATTTCCCGGGAAATCTGAGTTTCGCGGGAGGGCTCTTGAGCGCGTAAACCGTATCCCTTCATTCATCAGGCCGTTTCCTGAAGCCATTTCTGGACGGGAGAAACGAGAGTTGCGCTACTTTTTAATCCGTTGCATCTGCCTAAATGCACGTTCTTAAAGATAAATACTTGACAGAAGTCGATGGATCAGACTCCCAGCTTCACTTCGGTCTGATTATTTTTGAAACTATTGCGGCGGATTAGCGGCCACACGGGCTCGAAAGTACGGAGACGAGAAAGGGGTTACCCTGAGTACGCAAGATGAGAAGAGGGCTCTCCTCGGCTCCGGACAAAGTGATTTTAGCGGGGGTCGGGGGCTCTGCTCTGGACAATAATATCATTTTAACCACGCTCACGGATCGTTTAAACCCCGGACAATCCAACGCGACGTACATCCAAATAATCACCACCTCACCGCCTTGCAACGTTACACAGACATCAAATGTGTGTTTATCCGAGCCGCAGATAAACAACATTTACACAACTCCACAACAAGCTGCAGCAAACGGAGCGGGACAACGACCGGCTCTGGGGAGACCGCCGGTAATAATCTCTAAACATTAGCTTGCTACAACTAGCCACGAAACACTGCTGAAGGTTAGCCGGCTAGCTTAGCCGAGCTTGTTGTCGTCGGGCAGCTAACGCTACTAGCTACTTAGCCAGGGCATTCCCACGACTCAGCCCCAGCGAGGTGGCTAACTAACCACCGCTAGCTAAGTTACCAGACTGGGCTGGTTGAGTGGTTCGTCGGCTGCATGGAGGCGAACGGGCGAGTTTGAGTTAGTTTCGCGTTTGTGAAGACGCGGAGCTGTCATGTAATAGCGTGCTAAGCTAACTTCATGGTGCTTGTTTGAGTGCGCTTAACCCCGGCAGGCAGATGGAAACATTGGTAAGAGATGAGTAACGTTAGCGGTGGCCTAGTGGCTGCTTTCGTTTTGGGGGGTTGGGGGGGATTTGTTGGGCAGCTCAGCTCTTAGTTAGCTCATTTTTCTCGCTTCCTAACAACACACGAGGGGCTAAAGTTCCACAGCTAAACATTGACCCCAGCTTTGGAACGACTGGGGAGAGATTCCTCCCAGTCGTCCCTGAAGATGCGAGCCAAACTTGGATGAAGCTTGGAGAAATGTGTTAGCTCCCCATGCTAGTCGCTGTGTAGATTATCAGAGGACAACATTAACACTCGTTGTCGCCCTTGACCTTAATTTTTGCACGGATGTCTCGTGTCCCTTCTCTTCTGTGAATAAAGTGCAAACGCTGTGGTGCCTTTCATGCAAAACTAAAGTGAAACTTGAGTTTGTTGCATTTTTAGAGCTGCTGCACGTTTCCTGTAATCTCAACATGCACAAACCACACAGGGATAGTTTGAGCAGAACTCGGGGTGTTGGTTGGTTTGTTCCTGACTGTTCATCTCATGAACCAAAGCTGAATGTGTATCTCAGGCTGGAGCCATGAGCAGGCAGGGGGTGAGGGGAGCTGCTTGCTGATATAAAATGGCTGACGTTTTGGCTGTCAACAGAGGGCATATTATTTCCTTACATCAGGCCCACATCAAGGGTTAACCACGACTAAAATAACATGTTTACTGCGGGGAAACTGACTTCTCATCTACCAGGGGTTTGGAGGGAGACTCAGTAAAGCAGGACTCTGATACTGGGGTGTTGCACAAAGACACTAAAACAGGGTGGATTCTTGTTGACACACACATGTCAATGGTTGATTATATTTATTTACCAAGACACCACAGAGTAACTGATGATGACCTGAATGCAGATTTATTCTGGCTATAGGAAACATATTTGGTGTCTCACTAAATAAACAGTAAATCATTGGTTCAACAATGTTTGTCGTCCATCAATTGCAACATAAAGGGTCAATGGTGTAGCCCATGTTTGTTAAATAGGCCTATACATGATAGTTTCTTATATTTAAGTGTACTGCTGAAGCTGAGATGAAAATATCTGGTTTTGTCTTGCTAAGCTAGTAACTTGGCTGAAGTGAATTTGTAAACATTTTCTAGAACTTGTGAAACACTGGTGATCCATAACTTTGAAGTTGAGGTGAATCTTGACATCAGATTTACAATAAGCTCACACATGGTTTTTCAGTTTGCATTGTGAGCAATATCACCACCTCCGTCCCTCAACATGGAGAAGAAGAAATCAAAAATGGGTTCATGACATCAGATGCTGGAGTGACACGATGTCGCCAAGATACATTTGCATTTTGATGAAAAACCTCTAATGCCCCGACAGATTGTCTTCATAGCTCCCACTTCAGATGACACACTGGTTATAAGAACTTGAATGGAAAAGAATGCACAGTTGCCATCTCTATTTCAAACAATTACTAATTGAAGATCTGTCAGATGAACTCGAGAACACAAATACCTGCTTTTAACCATATCTTTTTGGACTTTCTAGGCAAAAAGGCGGTTGGCGCTTGATGATTCAGACCACCAGTACCAGTCAGAACCAACAAGAACTCCGAGAGGCAGAGGAGCGGCAGCAGCGACCAATGGGGGAAGGTTAAAGACGCCTAGAAGTAAGAAACTATAAAAATATAATAAGCCTACTGACATCCAGTTAGTACGTTTAATCCAGAATTCACAGCACAGTGATTCAAGGTCATTCTGTGGGGGAAGTGGACCACAGTGATTTTGAAACACAGTAAAAGGCTCATGGCTGCTTTGTACAAGTTTTTAAAACTAAATGGATTTCCACTCA